TCATCGCTTGGACCTTCTTTCTCCGCTAAAAGCCTACTATTAATTTAGAGAAACGGCCTCAAGGTGAAATTCTCATTGTTAAGTGTTGGATTTTGTTGATTGTATTTAGCATTTAAATCTCCTTGAAATTTGAATGAATAGCTTTGGTTAATTTCTCTATTGCTAATCTTTGGCCTAAGCAAGTTAACTTTTCTAATTCTATCTTGCATGATCGAAATAAACTTATAAGAGCAAACTTAAACAATTCTCTTTTTAATTTTAATCGTAACTCCTAGTAGTTTCACATCACAATGTATACTTAAAAAACAAAAAAAATTACAATAACACAAGCATGCATACAGAACGAAAAGGAGAAAAAATTCACACAAAAATCGGCCTTTTATCTATACTATATGGGATTCATTTTAGGAAAAACTTTTGTTTCGAAATAGGCATTATGATGCGTAAGCGCCTAAGCGGGCCTTTATCCACAACAAAAAAAATTACCTGTGCGTCGAGAGTAACCAGCTCGCTTGTGTTAATTTACTTATTTAGTTGTTAATTTAATAAGTATTTAATGTATAATTAATTAGTTCATTATTTTTTGAAATAACTAATTATTTAACTAATACTCCTAAAAATTTCATGAATTATTTAATTAATTTTACTGATTAATTATACAATTGATTATCTCATTAGTCACTTAAATATTTTACTACTCATTAATTATTATTTACACTATTAATTATATAATTTCTATATCAAATTATATTAATTAAGCTAATTATATTAAATTTTAATTACTAACTATACAATTGATTATTTAATTAAGTCAGTTTAAATTATTTATTTATACTCCTAATTATTAATTTAATCTAATTAATTGTTAATATTTTAAATTATATTAATTAATCTAAATTAGATTTATTTCTAATTTAGATGGTAGGATGTTTAGGATTTGAGTTTTAAACTTAATTTATATTTTAAGTGCAAGTTACCTATTAATTTCAATTGTAATTATCTTCAATAAATTATAATTACAAAATTAATATAATTAAAAATAGTTTAATTATTAAATTTCTTATTAATTTTAATTATTTACAAATTAAATTTTAATTATAATTATCAATAATAAGTAATCATTATACATAATATAATTAGAATTTAATTTAATTATCAATTATTCTGAGTAATTAATTAATCATTAATTACACTATTTTTTGTTTAATTTTAATTAAATTAGTTGAATCAAATTAATTAATTCTTATGATATTTCTCTGCTAATGAAATGGCCGCCGATTTCAAGAATTTTTCTGCTCTATCCTGATGTAGCTGTAGGCCTAGGGTTTGTTTTTCCTTTTTTATAATTGTTTGTACCTGTTCGGCTTTGTCTGCTTTGCGTGTGAGTTTGAGGTAAAGTTTTGAATGAGTCGATAAAAGACTTCAGTTTCATTTGGGACGGCTTTCTTACTGCTTCTTAAACCAGTTTTCTAGTACAAAAATTAAAATTTTGTACTAAAAATTTGCTTTATGAAGTAGTAAAAAAACCGTCCGAAACGAAGACTTCTTCGCTTCATTCGATGACACTCCTTCCAGTAAGGTTGGAAGTCACGACAGATCGCCATTATTTTGTTGGATCGGAAGTAACGACGATGATGGGAGGGAGCTCACTTGTTGCGAAGGTAAACATTTTCTCTCATTCATGCACTTCTTTGGCAAAATACTGTAAACCTGCCAAACTCTTGGATTTAGTAAATCCAAGATTTACCGTAAAAAGGTGTTAATGGTGGATTTATTCCGCCGTGAGATTTATGCCGAGTCAAAATCTTGTTTGGCAGATTTACGTTAAATCCTGCTCAAATCCTGCATAAATCCTGTTGCCAAACAACCCCTATTTTTTTTTTTGAAACTATGAAACTTGCTTGAATTAAATTGATTAAATTGACTCAAAATCTTAATCTATTTGGTCTGATTTGAAGATAACTGACTTAAACAATAGCCTTAATCAGTATTTAAACCATTGTAACCTAAATTTGATGCATAACATTAAAATATAGACTATTTTCATTTTTAAAAAATTTTCAAAATTTTTGCTTTCATCAAAATTAGTACTCTCCTACCTATATAGCACCCTCATGACAAAACAAATCTCATGTGTAGAGACTATTTTCATTTTTCATATTTTTCAAATTTTTTGCTTTCATCAAAATTAGTACCCTCATACCTATATAGCACCCTCATACCAAAACAAATCTCATGTGTTTACAAAACTAACACCCTTCTACCTAGATGACCCTACGACATCAACAATATCATCAAGCCTTTATCCCACTACATGGGTCAACTATATAAATCATTTTTGTCCATCATGTCTTGTTAAGAGTCAAATTCTCATTTAAATCTAATTAAAAAGATTATTTCTAATATTTCTAATCAAAGTCTATCTATGTGACACTCAAATATCAAAATTTGCTTTTGTCAAATTTGCAGCAATTTGATCATGGCCCTCATAAATAAATGGATTTGGTAGTTTAAAAAAATGGCATGATTGCTAGATTTGTAAATAAATAAGTTTTAAATGTCATGTATGTAATTCCCCAGTAAAATATTTATTAAATTAATAGATTTGGCTTGAATCATCTTGAAAGTCAACTCAAAATCATTTAGATTCAAATTGACTCAAAGTTGGCTCAAGTTGAAATCATATTTTCAATTCTAAATCAAGCTGGCTTGCTTGAACTCTGACTCACATCAACCCTAATATGATGGTTTTGTTACGAGGCCATGAAGAGTGGTGGTGCAGCTGTGCACTGTTTTGATGAAGTGTTCATTAGGAGAGCTTTGAACCTTATCTTTTTTCTTTTTCTGTCCACTTAGCCAACACGCATGCTGTTATAGGAAGAAGGGGAAGATGCGCAATCAATATCTAGGTAAAAATCTTCAAAAATGATCTGAGTTAGCAGTTGTATTTTGCAGGCCTTAGAACATCAATGGATCTAGAGACGGAGAACCATCTTGCTGCCTTATTGGTGGAAGAGGCTAGGAGATTGCGACGGGAAGCTGAAAAAGATGGGGTGCATGTTTATCTCCAGAAGCCCAATGTAAGAGGCCGCCCAAATTCACGCTTCCTGACTGCTACTGTTCTTGGTGTTGAACAAGGTTAGATATGTTATTTCACTAAGTTTTCTTTTCAAAAATTGCTTTTAGATACAATGTTGAACTAGGTTAGTTATGTTATTTCACCAAGTTCTCTCTTAAAAAATTGCTGTTAGATACAATGGAAGTTTTATAGTTAGGTGAATTTATTAAATTTTTTTTTTATTGTGTGGTCTTCTTATCTGTTGTTTTATGGAAGGAAGAACTAGATAATCGTTCTGTATCAGTTGACTAACATGTAATTTGGGAAAAGTATAAAGAAACATTGAGGACAGGAAATTTTCAAGGAAGTAGGCTTTTGTTTTTCTTTTACTTGCTAAACAAGGATGTTTCTGCAACAGAGATAGAGTGATATTTTCACAGGGTGAAGTAGTGTGGCTCTTTAAAATTTCACTTAACCTGAAGTTTACTCACTTTCAATTAGGTAATATAGATTTCTAAAACTTTGTAATTAGTTTTTTTAGAATTCATCTTGATTTTTACTCACTTATTAGATGAGTTATTCATAAGGTTCATTCTCTAAAATGTTGCAGAATGAACCTAAAATCTTCATTTAGCATCGTTTTCACTGTCATCATTATTAATAGTCTTTCCCAATCATTGGGGTTGCCTATATGAATAATCCTCCATTCATTCAAGTCAAGGGTTGCATGAGATTTTGATTGTAGTTCACAAAATCACTTTTGCATAAATTATAATCATGTTACCTTTGATTTACATTTTTTTGCCAATTGCTTTTGTGTGTTAATTCTATCTATTGCCTTATTTATGAATTTCCGTCTCTTTGCGTTGTATGCCACAATCTTTTTTTCCTTTTTTTTTCACTGACCCAATCTACCGTCCTCTAATGTATTAAATTTCTGCCACTCCTGTTCTACTTTTAGCGCATTTCCATGCAACATACTTTTTTACATTCATTTTCAGCTTTGTTATGAATGAATTCTATGTTACCTAACACTCAAATTCATATAACATAAGCAATTAAATTATTAATTTTTTTAAAAAATTTATTAAGTTTCCATAATGTTCTCATATCATGTTGTACTTCTAAGAAATATCTATTTGGGTCTCTTAGCATTAAAACTAAAACTTATGCCCTCCGTGTATATATATATATATATATACATATTCTTGCTCACACCTTTGCTTCTTTAATCTTTCAACTATGATATTTATTTATTTTTACAATCACTAAAAGTGCATATCATATTCTTGCTCTTTATTTTTATCAAATGCTCAACTTTTTTTTTTTTCCCGATATGTTTCCTCCATTTTCCCAATTTCTTTTTTACTTCATAAGATGTGGCACCTATTAGATCTATGCCATATTTAAGTAGCATACAATTGTGAATCTTATATTGAATTTATTTTATAAGCATCTATATAATCAATATATAGATTACATGGTTAATTTTGATCTTTGATGCACCTTTTGTAGTAAGCTTCTCTTTCAATTATTTGGTCCTTTGTTTCTGAAGAATTTCATTGCGAGTGTTTGTTGACTATATTATTTCAAAATCTCCTGACTCTTTAAATGCCATTAAATATTCCATGTAAACTTATGGCATTACCTTAACATCTTAATTAAAGCTAGCTTAATTTCATTTTTTTATGCATCAACAATATAATTTCATTAAAACTTATGGCATTACCTTAACATTTTATTTTTCTCTTCTAAAAATTCTTTTCCTGAAACTCTCAGTTACTAGTTTTGTAAAATTATCATCATTTTAATTGAAAGTTTTAGCTAATTCTTGATTTTCTTCACACTTACAACCGGTTCAATAAAAATCTTGGCCTCTATTATCTTGACTTATTTATTATAGACCTCTTTATTCTCACCTTAGAATTTAGTCTACTATGTATATTATCTAGAGTTATATTGCACCGATACGGATACAACGACACTGATATGACACGATACGGATACGGGACATGCCAATTCTTAAAAATATAGGATATGGCGCGAACACGACATTATAATTTATAAATTACACGTAAAAATTAAGAAAGTAATCAAAACATAATATTTGAAATTACAAAAAAAAAAATGAAAGCAAAATCATTTGTAGCCTTGTAGCTTATAATATCAAAATAAAATTAAGCATTAAATGTCTAGTACAATAAAAAAAGCATAAACATAAATTGTCTAGCTGATGTGAAACGTACATGCGATGATGGAGTTACTTTAAGAAATTAACAAGAACAATTTAAACAAATAATCCCAAAGTAAAATTATCACTTATAGCAAAAGATTGATCCTTGTAATTCGTGTTCTTTAACTTGGTTAGGCAAGGTAGAGCAAGATCAATCAACCAAGCAATTCAAGAAACACAAAGAATAATTGTAAAGCTACGATGGTAACAAGAGTCCACAATTTAATAATGAAAACTTTCACCTTTGGAGCCCATACGCTCAACTAGTCTAGGCTTTAGCGGAAGAAGAGTCTCCACTTTAGAATCGAGGTCGCTCCGAGGAAGAAGGAACCTTAGATCGTCGTTCGTGGATAGGTAGCTTCCTGGACAGCACCCAATATGGGTATGTCAGGATTCGGTCTACACTTGGAGCTGCCGGATACTTTGGACAGCAGCCTGCAGTTTTCCTGGGTGCCGGCTAGCAAGTTCCCATGCTGGAATGAGGAGTGGGCAGCCGGTAGAAGATGAGGGGAAGGTTGAGGACCACGTGCAAAGAGTTTAGGGAACTCACGTTTGCATCACTTGGAAGAGAAAATTCAATAACAACGGAAGAGAGGGAAGCTGTTTCAGGTTCAGATTTTTGAAATCTGAAATTAAAACTGAAGAAATCGGGAATTAATTATGTGAGAGGAGGCATTTAAGAGGTGGTGATGTGGCAATTAAATAGAGGAGCAATGGGATGAGGTGGCCGGCCATATGGGAGAGAGAGATTTAGGAGTTATGAGAGTGGGGCCCAAGTTTAAGTAAGAAATTCAACTAAATCTGAATTTTAATTTCAGATTTAATTGGGCCTTAAGTAACTTTCCAAATTGAAATTGACATGAGAGGGAAAATTGGAGTTTGAAATTCAAATGGGATTAATTGCTAGTAACTGTTGGCTGATGGATTAAGCAATTAATCTAGCATTAATTGTTGACATTACACGGGTTGGGAAAACCAGAGGGAAACGGCGGTGAAGGCTGCAGGTGTGATTTCGGGAATCTGGGGGAAGAAAGGCTCACGGGTTGGACTGCTGGCTGTGGAGTTGAGAACCGGTGGGGAGGAGGGGAGATGGCTGCGTGGGGGTTTTCTGGACCGATGCCCAAAGCCTGGAGAAAGGCTTGGCCGGTGGGGTGGCAGCCAAAATGGCCGGAGGTTTGAGCAGGCCACGGCTAAATGAAAGCAATTGCAGGGAAAGGAGGAGAGAAAACAAAATACAGGGATTTAGACCACCACAGAATTGCTAACCTTGAATATATTCACTTTGAATTTCCACAAGATGAGATAATTCGAAAACTAGAACTCACTAAGAGATCTAGTTTTATCCGGCGAACTCACTAAGAGATTGTGGGGAAAATGAACTCACAAAGAGAACAAGAGCTAAATTTTTATTTCATCAAAAACTGCAATTACAATGCATGAGGCCTCATATAAATAGGCTAAAATGAGCAAATAAGAAATGACACAAATGCCCTTCTGGGCTACATAAGCGACTAAATGCCCATAAGGTTAAAAGTGGAAAAACATCAAAATAAATACGCTACTACATAAAATGACAAAATACAAGTCATGCTCGTGGCCGTCGATCTCCGGCGTCGAAAATGCTGACGATGTCCTCATCACTAGCACCTGAAGTTTCAACTATTCAATAGGAGTGCTATGATTAGCTTCTTTAGTGATTTGTCTTTGAACTTCTATATTATCTTCAATAAATATCATACCTTCTAATTCAGGCTCATCAAATGAAAGATTAGTAATTTCTAATATTCCCATATCATCAAGAGACTCAAATCCATGACGTAAATGAGAAAACCTCGCTCGCAGGCATCGAAGTAAATACGACGCGTCTTTTTTTTTTTTTCAGATTTTTTTTTTGTTTTTCAATGGACACACGTATCTGATACGATACGCGTCTCCTTTTAAAATTAAATGGTATTTTAATTGGATACGGCTTGACCGTATCCGACACATATTGGTGCCATATCGGAGGCGTATCCGTGTATCGGTGTATTGGATACAACACACCTTCATAAATAGGTGTATTAGTGCAACATAGATCTAGAGCTACAACATTGAATTTTTTACTATTACTTAATAAATATTATGTCTTAATAGTAGTTATTTTTTTCATTTTATGGAACAATTTTATTTTCTATAATAGTTTCTTTAACTTCTCATGCCATTAGCAAGACTTCTTAATTTTTAATTCTTTATTTGTAAATTTGCTAAGTTTTTATGGTCTCATTCTAATTTTATCAACAATTTTATTTATGAGGAAGGAAGTTTGGTTTCACTTTGTAGTTTTGGTATCATCATCATCATTATCCATTTTCAAATTATTTGGGTTACCTTAATGAGTTTTCATTTTTCATTTATTTTTCATTCATTAGTGGGATAAATGTTTGGTGTTGTTGTTGTTGTATGTTGATTGCTGGCTAACTTGTTAAGTTTATCATTAACACATCATTTTTAACTACTTCTATCCATTTTATTTTTGTTCCATTCTTTTTCCTTCCAAATCCAACAACACTAATTTTATATGCCCATCTAAGGGTGCAATTTCTAGCCTATATTATACATGTCCAAATCACTCGGGTTTATTTTATGATGTAAGCAATGCCCCCCCTCCTTTTCCCAGTTTCCTTTGCTTTGGGTTGTTTGGTTTATGCTCCCTGCTTTCCCAGTTTCCAGTTTCCCTTGCTTTGGACTGTTCGGTTGCTGCTCCTTGGCTTTCCCGGTTCTCTTTGCTGGGTTGTTCGGTTCCTGCTGTTGTCCCTTGGCCTTCCCGATTTTTCTGATGGGTTCTTACGTGCCTTTAATTCTGCTTTT